AATTGTAACGTACAAATGTAACCGAATTCTCAAAACAATTTCACAAGAGGACGCGATGTGCCGTGAGGCCCTTTGTCCTGTATCGTGTAGAAGTAGAAGACGGGCATGATTTTGATGCTTCGTGGTTGCAGTTAAAAGCATGACATGCCATAACGGTAGATGATATCTGAAAATGGATTAATGTTTGATATTATGATATATCTTTTTACAGGCTTACATCCAGACGACCGGAAGTAAAGCTGGCTCCTAGCTGCTCCGGACGTCCACAGTTCGACTTTTTGATCGGCGTCAACCGCCCAGACTTAGCGACCATCAACTACACATAGAATGGGGGATTGCTAAGGTTTATAATCCATAGACTTCTATTAATCATCCTCTACTGTGGTTACATAAAGGTGAATTTCCGATGTATGAATGATTCCAGCCTCACCAGGGGTCAAGGATATTGACTAGTCTTCCCTTCAGGCCAGTATGGTGGTGCCTTCAACTTAACAATACCCCTGTATTAAAAAGTGGGGAGCATGAGGTATAATTTACATGTGTGTTTTGCTTTCATCTTTGTGTTTGCCACAACTGCACATCATTTTATTCATGAACATCAACATTAGTTTTCATATGATTTTATTTCCATAAATGAGCATTAAATTTGTCCCCTCTCAGTATTTGTAAGTTTTGAGATAAAAGAAAATTGTTCAGTCAACAAAAGATTATGAAATAATAGAGCCAGAACAGTATATCTGTATGTGTAATTATGTTACAATCTATGACAGTAATTACATACCCAACACATAATTCAAATATACGCCAAGGTTTCAAACCTTGGGACTCCTAAATCCATTTAGCCACAGCATGCCATTTGGATATGTAAGTAAACTCATACACTGTCTTGCTTTGTGACATTTTATTTGCTGATGGTAATATGGTACAAGTACAAACGTACTACCATACCTCAAGGAGTGAAGCCAAATACATCTTTAATATTCCAAATCTGCACTGTATGAGTATGCATGATAAATCACCAGAGGAATACTGTACTCACCTAACCCTAACCCTAACCCTAACCCTAACCCTAACCCTAACCCTAACCCTACCAGTCATTAATTGAATAGTTAACCCACCCAACCCTCAGCCTATTTCTTCCAGTCCATTACATAAAAGATTTGACAAAAGCATTGACAGAAAACAATTGGAACTATTCACTGATAAGAAAACGAAAAGAAGTATTTTCATCCTTTTTTGTACACATTTTCAGTTCCATTTACTCCAACAAGAATATTAGCACCAGAGATTTTTTTGACATACGCCTTTTTTGACATAACAAGAAGATTTTGACACAACAAGTACGTAGTCCAAAAACGAAGCATCCGTCAATGAGCCCCGTCTGTACTGGACACCAGGCAGGACACACAGCATCTCAAACAGCAGGTTAGCTGCAGTCAGCGCTGTGTTACCGGACGGGTCATAAGCTGGGGAAACCTGGGGAAGGCAGCACAATTGTTAGATAAGTAAAAGTACATCTGTGCCAGGTACATTAGCCTGGTCATCATCAGCACATGCATCTATACCACAGCGTGAGCATGTATTGGGACAAGCAAGAAAAATGTTACTAGTAATTAGACCTAATTATGCAAATGAGGTCATGATTTGAATAAATTATGTTTATTGATGTTCGCCTTCACTTAACTTCCAAATGTGGCAAGTATGAAATTCCCAGCAGTTACAACTATGAAATTACAAAAAAAATCCCATTAATTATGCAAATTAGGTCTTCATTTACATAATCTATATCCTCATATTTTTTTCATTCTCAATTACATGTCACAAGTGTTTCATAGTCCTATTATCGAACAATGCAGAGTTTTAGAATTTCCTCATTAATTATGTAAATTAGCTCCTGATTTGCATAATTATCATTTGATTATGTCAAGCTTCACTTCAGCTACCTACATACCAAAAATCACGACAATCCGTCAACCGGTTCCTTAGTTATCATCCTTCAAAAAATTTTCAACAAATGCTCCTGCAGTTTCAGAACAACCCGCTAGGGGGCCCAAACTCATGTCACTTCTTCCCTACCCCAAGAGCTATCTACCAACCAAAATTCGTGACCCGAGCATGTACAGATCGCGAGATATCAAAACCGGAAGTTCTGCTGCAGTACCAACAGAAGCCGACCGGGGGGCCCAAAATCTAATCATTTCTAGGTCTCATCAAGACCTACCCACCTACCAAATTTCATGACAATGCATACTAAGCTTCCTGAGTTATGCTGTTCACAGACAAACAGACAGACGGACGGACAAAAGCTACTGAAAACATAACCTTCTTGGCGAAGGTAACAATGGTTTGACAAGAGTTGCGTCGAACTAAAACGAGAAGTAAAGAACTTGGCATACTTACTTGTAAAGCAACCGTCAAACTCAGACATAAGAGGAAGATATTTTAAAAGAAAGAAGGAATATAGAAAACTCGT